CCAATCATCAGTCATTTGTGTAAGTGCAGTGCTTGTTGAATGTCCTTCCCTACAAGCATGTTGAAAGTCTGTTGTTAATTTGTTTACTGTGAAGTAGCATTGTATCTGGTCAAACACAATTTTTCTCAAAAGTTTACAAAGGGTTGGTAACAGGCTAATTAGTCAGCTATTTGAGCCAGTAAAGGGGGCTTCACTATTCTTAAGTAGCGGAATGACTTTTGCTTCCCTCCAGGCTTGAGGGCACACACTTTCTAGTAGGCTTAAATTGAAGATATGGCCAATAGGAGCTGCAATATCGTCCGCTATTATCCTCAGTAATTTTCCATCCAAGTTGTCAGACCCCGGTGGCTTGTCTTTGCTGATAGACAACAATCATTTTTGAAAAAACTAACTTTACGTTTTGTGGTTGTAGTGAACACCCTAACTGTGAGTGGCTCTGTATAAGAGCCTTTGCTAAATGACTAAAATGTTCATGTAATGAGTAGCCTAGTGATTGGTGATGACAGTAGCCTAGTGATTGGTGATGACAGTAGCCTAGTGATTGGTGATGACAGTAGCCTAGTGAGTGGTGATGACAGTAGCCTAGTGAGTGGTGATGACAGTAGTCTAGTGAGTGGTGATGACAGTAGCCTAGTGAGTGGTGATGACAGTAGCCTAGTGAGTGGTGATGACAGTAGCCTAGTGAGTGGTGATGACAGTAGCCTAGTGAGTGGTGATGACAGTAGCCTAGTGAGTGGTGATGACAGTACTAGTGAGTGGTGATGACAGTAGCTAGTGAGTGGTGATGAGACAGTAGCCTAGTGAGTGGTGATGACATCTTGAGTGTATGACAGTAATCTAGTGAGTGGTGATGACAGTAGCCTAGTGAGTGGTGATGACAGTAGCCTAGTGAGTGGTGATGACAGTAGCCTAGTGAGTGGTGATGACAGTAGCCTAGTGAGTGGTGATGACAGTAGCCTAGTGAGTGGTGATGACAGTAGCCTAGTGATGTGATGACAGTACTAGTGAGTTGATGACAGTAGCCTAGTGAGTGGTGATGACAGTAGCCTAGTGAGTGGTGATGACAGTAGCCTAGTGAGTGGTGATGACAGTAGCCTAGTGAGTGGTGATGACAGTAATCTAGTGAGTGGTGATGACAGTAGCCTAGTGAGTGGTGATGACAGTAGCCTAGTGAGTGGTGATGACAGTAGCTAGTGAGTGGTGATGACAGTAGCCTAGTGAGTGGTGATGACAGTAGCCTAGTGAGTGGTGATGACAGTAGCCTAGTGAGTGGTGATGACAGTAGCCTAGTGAGTGGTGATGACAGTAGCCTAGTGAGTGGTGATGACAGTAGCCTAGTGAGTGGTGATGACAGTATCTAGTGATGGTATGACAGTACTATGAGTGGTATGACAGTAGCCTAGTGAGTGGTGATGACAGTAGTCTAGTGAGTGGTGATGACAGTAGCCTAGTGAGTGGTGATGACAGTAATCTAGTGAGTGGTGATGACAGTAGCCTAGTGAGTGGTGATGACAGTAGCTAGTGAGTGGTGATGACAGTAGCTAGTGAGTGGTGATGACAGTACTAGTGATGGTGGACAGTAGTATGAGTGTGCAGTATCTGTGGTGGATGTACAGTAGTCTAGTGAGTGGTGATGACAGTAGCCTAGTGAGTGGTGATGACAGTAGCCTAGTGAGTGGTGATGACAGTAGCCGTAGTGAGTGGTGATGAACAGTAGTCCTAGTGAGTGGTGATGACAGTAGCTCTAGTGTAGTGGTTATGACAGTTAGCCTAGTGAGTGGTGATGACAGTAGCCTAGTGAGGTGGGATTGACAGTAGTCTTGAGTGGTGGGAGATGACAGTAGCCTAGTGAGTGGTGATGACAGTAGCCTAGTTGAGTGGTGATGGACAGTAGTTTTTCTTTTATAGGAAGGGTTGATGACAGTAGTCTGTCGAGTGGTGATGACAGTAGCGTAGTGAGTGGTGATGACAGTAGCCTAGTGAGTGGTGATAGACCAGTAGCCTAAGTAGAGTTGGTGATGACAGTAGCCTAGTGAGTGGTGATGACAGTAGCCTAGTGAGTGGTGATGACAGTTAGTCTGGTGAGTGGTGATGACAGTAGTCTAGTGAGTGGTGATGACAGTAGCCTAGTGAGTGGTGATGACAGTAGCCTAGTGAGTGGTGATGACAGTACTATGAGTGGTGATGACAGTAGCTAGTGAGTGGTGATGACAGTAGCCTAGTGAGTGGTGATGACAGTACCTAGTGAGTGGTGATGACAGTAGCCTAGTGAGTGGTGATGACAGTAGCTAGTGAGTGGTGATGACAGTAGCTAGTGAGTGGTGATGACAGTAGCCTAGTGAGTGGTGATGACAGTAGCTAGTGAGTGGTGATGACAGTAGCCTAGTGAGTGGTGATGACAGTACTAGTGAGTGGTGATGACAGTAGCCTAGTGAGTGGTGATGACAGTAATCATGAGTGTGAGATGAGTGTGTGACATAGCTAGTGAGTGGGAGACAGTAGCTAGTGAGTGGTGATGACAGTAGCCTAGTGAGTGGTGATGACAGTAGCCTAGTGAGTGGTGATGACAGTAGCCTAGTGAGTGGTGATGACAGTAGCCTAGTGAGTGGTGATGACAGTATCTAGTGAGTGGTGATGACAGTAGCCTAGTGAGTGGTGATGACAGTAACCTAGTGAGTGGTGATGACAGTAAGCTAGTGAGTGGTGATGACAGTAGCCTAGTGAGTGGTGATGACAGTATCTAGTGAGTGGTGATGACAGTAGCCTAGTGAGTGGTGATGACAGTAGCCTAGTGAGTGGTGATGACAGTAATCTAGTGAGTGGTGATGACAGTAGCTAGTGAGTGGTGATGACAGTAGCCTAGTGAGTGGTGATGACAGTAGCCTAGTGAGTGGTGATGACAGTAGTCTAGTGAGTGGTGATGACAGTAGCCTAGTGAGTGGTGATGACAGTATCTAGTGAGTGGTGATGACGTAGCTAGTAGTGGTGATGACAGTAGCCTAGTGAGTGTGATGACAGTAGCTGTGATGGTATGACAGTAGCCTAGTGAGTGGTGATGACAGTAGCCTAGTGAGTGGTGATGACAGTAGCTAGTGAGTGGTGATGACAGTAGCTAGTGAGTGGTGATGACAGTAAGCCTAGTGAGTGGTGATGGACAGTAGCCTAGTGAGTGGTGATGACAGTAGTCTAGTGAGTGGTGATGACAGTAGCCTAGTGAGTGGTGATGACAGTAATCTAGTGAGTGGTGATGACAGTAGCCTAGTGAGTGGTGATGACAGTAGCCTAGTGAGTGGTGATGACAGTAATCTAGTGAGTGGTGATGACAGTAGTCTAGTGAGTGGTGATGACAGTAGCCTAGTGAGTGGTGATGACAGTAATCTAGTGAGTGGTGATGACAGTAGCCTAGTGAGTGGTGATGACAGTAGCCTAGTGAGTGGTGATGACAGTAGCTAGTGATGGTGATGACAGTAGTCTGGTAATGCCATGGTAGTGTCATGCTGGTGTGTGTCAGCCTGTGATTCATAACTGTCGAGGAAAATTCTAGCCAATTTGTCTCTGGTTTAATATTTCATTCAGACCTCTTCTATAATGCATACCCGGTTCCGCTCGGCTGATACAGGCCTTTACCAGGATGAGATATTACCGGTCCACTCCCCATAATGTGAAAATAGACACACTGCGTCCCAAATGACACCCTATTCCCTACATAGTGCACTACTTTTAACCAGAGCCCGATGGCAAAAGTAGGGATTAGAATACCATATAGGGATTAGGGTACCTTTTGGGAAGCTGACAGATTGTATCTATCTCATAGAGATTCATGGAGTGGATGGAGCACTCAGCAGATAATCAGGTTATCCAGGTGGTCTAACTGGCCTATAGAAGAGTTGATCCAGTATGACTGGATAAACTATTGATCTGTGGCTCGTATGAAAGACCACTCATAACCAGTAATCAGCTAATACAAGCGGACAGGATGGCACCGTCGCTTTCACGTTATTCATGGTGTCATGAACCCCCTAAAAAACATCTCCGCTATTACTGTGTTCAGGCTCCTTTGTCCTCTTGTAACACTATGGGCCAGTTTCCCGGACACAGATTAAGCATAGACCTGGACTAAAAAGCATGTTCAATGGAGAATCTCCATGTGAAGTGTGTTTCAGTCCAGGACTAGTTTAATAAGTGTTCGGGAAACCGTCCCCTATTTGCAGCTAGTGTCATGATTTAAAACTTTTGTGTTTGTAAATTTGTGAATTATATAAATTATGATGTGTTTGAACTGAATGTGAAACAAGCTGTATATGTCAGGTTCGTTCTCTTTCTGTCCTCGTCCAATCACTACTGGCCAGCTTTGTCCCTCCAGATCATAGGCCAGCGTTCGTCTTCGATCACTACTGGCCAGCTGTTCTGTCTCTCCATACTATGCCAGCCTGTTTGTCTCTCCAGTCACTATGGCCAGCTGTTTGTCCTCTCAGATACTCTGGCCAGCCGTTCCCTCCAGTCACTATGCCAGCTGTTCTGTCTTCAGAAAGCCACTTTTGTGTCTCTCAGTATACTGAGCTGTTGTCTCATCAATACTATGCAGCTGTTCTGTCCTCTCCAGATCACATGCCGCTGTTCTGTCCCAGCCCCCCTGTGTCTGTCCTCTCCAGATCACTACTGGCCAGCTGTTCTGTCCCTCTCCAGATCACTACTGGCCAGCGTGTTCTGTCCTCTCCAGATCACTATGGCCAGCCTGTTCTGTCCTCTCCCAGATCACTACTGGGCCAGCCTGTTCTGTCCTCTCCAGATCACTACTGGCCAGCCTGTTCTGTCCTCTCCAGATCACTACTGGCCAGCCTGTTCTGTCCTCTCCAGATCACTACTGGCCAGCCTGTTCTGTCCTCTCCAGATCACTACTGGCCAGACTCTGTGTTCCTCTGGCCACCCCCCCTTCCACCACTGCACCCTCCACCCCGCCGCCCGTCTGAACGCTGCAGGCCCCGCCCTCCTCCTCTACCATGACGGTTGCTACGGGTGACCCGGGGGGCGAGGCGGTGGCGCGTCCCTGTGACCCATACGAACCGGAACCGGGCCACGAGTGCTGCGAGCGTGTGGTCATCAATATCTCCGGGCTGCGCTTTGAGACTCAGCTCAAGACCCTCTCCCAGTTCCCTGAGACCCTGCTGGGGGACCCCAAGAAGAGGATGAGTTAACTATACCACTTATATATGTAATTATCCTGTATTGATGTTAACCCTAACTCTAACCCCAAGTGCTTTTGTCTGTGCCCAATAATGTTTGTACCATGTTGTGATGCTACCATGTTGTGTTGCTACCATGTTGTATTGCTACCATGTTGTGCTGCTACCATGTTGTGTTGCTACCATGTTGTGCTGCTACCATGTTGTGTTGCTACCATGTTGTGATGCTACCATGTTGTGATGCTACCATGTTGTTGTCATGTGGTATTGCTACCATGTTGTGCTGCTACCATGTTGTGATGCTACCATGTTGTATTGCTACCATGTTGTGCTGCTACCATGTTGTGTTGCTACCATGTTGTGTTGCTACCATGTTGTATTGCTACCATGTTGTTGTCATGTGGTATTGCTACCATGTTGTGCTGCTACCATGTTGTGCTGCTACCATGTTGTGCTGCTACCATGTTGTGTTGCTACCATGTTGTATTGCTACCATGTTGTGTTGCTACCATGTTGTATTGCTACCATGTTGTGTTGCTACCATGTTGTGTTGCTACCATGTTGTGTTGCTACCATGTTGTATTGCTACCATGTTGTGTTGCTACCATGTTGTGTTGCTACCATGTTGTGCTGCTACCATGTTGTGATGCTACCATGTTGTGTTGCTACCATGTTGTGATGCTACCATGTTGTGCTGCTACCATGTTGTGTTGCTACCATGTTGTGTTGCTACCATGTTGTATTGCTACCATGTTGTGTTGCTACCATGTTGTGTTGCTACCATGTTGTGTTGCTACCATGTTGTGTTGCTACCATGTTGTGCTGCTACCATGTTGTGCTGCTGCCATGTTGTGCTGCTGCCATGTTGTATTGCTACCATGTTGTGTTGCTACCATGTTGTGTTGCTACCATGCTGTGTTGTCATGTGTTGCTGCCATGCTATGTTGTTGTCTTAGGTATCTCTTTATGTAGTGTTGTGGTGTCTCTCTTGTTGTAATAATAATAATAATAATAATATGCCATTTAGCAGACGCTTTTATCCAAAGCGACTTACAGTCATGGGTGCATACATTTTTACGTATGGGTGGTCCCAGGGATCGAACCCACTACCCTGGCGTTACAAGTGCCGTGCTCTACCAGCTGAGCTACAGAGGACCTATATTTTTATTGTATTTTTATTTTTAATCCCAGCCCCCGTCCCCGCAGGAGGCCTTTTGCCTTTTGGTAGGCCGTCATTGTAAATAAGAATTTGTTCTTAACTGACTTGCCTCTAAGAGGTGAGATAGGTTTAACATATAATATAAATCCCTAACACTATGAGGTGAGATAGGGATTTACACTGAGTGCCTTCAGAAAGTATTCATACCCCTTGACCTATTCCACATTTTGTTGTTTTACAGCCTGTTTTCAAAATGGATTACATTGATTTTATGTCTCACCCATCTAAACACAATACCCCATAATGACACCCATCTAAACCCAATACCCCATAATGACACCCATCTAAACCCAATACCCCATAATGACACCCATCTAAACACAATACCCCATAATGACACCCATCTAAACCCAATACCCCATAATGACACCCATCTAAACCCAATACCCCATAATGACACCCATCTAAACACAATACCCCATAATGACACCCATCTAAACACAATACCCCATAATGACACCCATCTAAACACAATACCCCATAATGACACCCATCTAAACACAATACCCCATAATGACACCCATCTAAACACAATACCCCATAATGACACCCATCTAAACACAATACCCCATAATGACACCCATCTAAACACAATACCCCATAATGACACCCATCTAAACACAATACCCCATAATGACACCCATCTAAACACAATACCATACCCCATAATGCCACCCATCTAAACACAATACCCCATAATGACACCCATCTAAACACAATACCCCATAATGGCACCCATCTAAACACAATACCCCATAATGGCACCCATCTAAACACAATACCCCATAATGACACCCATCTAAACACAATACCCCATAATGACACCCATCTAAACACAATACCCCATAATGACACCCATCTAAACACAATACCCCATAATGAAACCCATCTAAACACAATACCCCATAATGACACCCATCTAAACACAATACCCCATAATGACACCCATCTAAACACAATACCCCATAATGACACCCATCTAAACCCAATACCCCATAATGACACCCATCTAAACACAATACCCCATAATGACACCCATCTAAACACAATACCCCATAATGACACCCATCTAAACCCAATACCCCATAATGACACCCATCTAAACACAATACCCCATAATGACACCCATCTAAACACAATACCCCATAATGACACCCATCTAAACACAATACCCCATAATGACAAAGTGAAAACATTTGTTTTTTTAATGTTTGCAAATGTATTGAAAATGAAATACAGAAATATCTCATTCACTCCACTGAGTCAATACTTTGTAGAAGCACCTTTGGCAGTGATTACAGCTGTGAGTCTTTCTGGGTAAGTCACTAAGAGCTTTCCACACCTGGATTGTTCAATATTTGCCCATTATTATTTTCAAAATTCTTCAAGCTCTGACAAATTGATTGTTGATCATTGCTAGACAACCATTTTCAGGTCTAGATATTCAAGTAGATTTAAGTCAAAACTGTAACTCGACCACTCAGGAGCAATCACTGTCTTCTTGGTAAGCAATTCCAGTGTAGTTTTGACCTTGTGTTTTAGGTTATTGTCCTGCTGAAAGGTGAATTCATCTCCAAGTGTCTGGTGGAAAGCAGCCAACCAGGTTTTCCTCTAGGATTTTGCCTGTGCTTAGCTTGTCATATAAATATATATGACTCGAAAGTAGTCAACTCAAACATATCTCTCAAGAAACTGGAGCCTGTGAATCCAAAAATTAGACTTTTATTATCTAATAACGAAAGCCGAACGGCTCCATGGAGCGGCTGTCTCTCTCTGGCTTAGACATCCCTTTTATACACACACAAATGCACAAACATACTTCCATGGCATATTCAGTTACCCCCTTATGGCAAATTCCTAACTTATTTTAGCTCTGCACCACCCTTCTTTTTCAACGTCCAGCTGTCACACAATGTCCTACTCCAAAAGGTCATGAATGCTTTTTTCTATATGAAGCCTCTCATTCTATCATTCTATTGGCTGCGTGGCCCCTTCTTAAAAAGAACTAAGGTAATGCATACACTGTGTCCATAAGAAGCCCATGGGCCACAGGTTGAGAGCCCCTGTGACAGAGCACATACATTCATTTAAAACATAGTCCTGTTTATTAGACTTTACCTTTGACCTCTCCCTACATTTGCCTTTAATGATACATAAAATAATACCATAAGCTCCATTCCGTTTCTTTTGTATCCTGAAAAACTCCCCAGTCCTTAACTATGACATGCATACCCATAACATGATGCTGCCAACACTATGCTTGTAAATACGGAGAAAGTTACTCAGTAATGTGTTATTCTGTACAGGCTTCCTTCTTTTCACTCAGTCATTTAGGTTAGTATTGTGGAGTAACTACAATGTTGTTGATCCATCCTCAGTTTTCTCCTATCACAGCCACAAAACTCTGTAACTGTTTTAAAGTCACCATTGACCTCATGGTGAAATCCCTGAGCGGTTTCCTTCCTCTCCTTGAACTGAGTTAGGAAGGACGCCTGTATCTTTGTAGTGACTGGGTGTATTGATACACCCTCCAAAGTGTAATGAATAACTTCATCATGCTCAAAGGGATATTCATTGTCTGCTTTTTTATTTTTACCCATCTGAGGGACCTTACAGATAATTGTATGTGTGGGGTACAGAGATGAAGTAGTCATTAAAAAATGGTGTTAAAAACTTTTATCGCACACAGAGTGAGACGATGCAACTTATTATATAACTTGTTAAGCAAAGTTTTACTCCTGAACTTATTTAGGCTTGCCATAACAAAGGGGTTGAATATTTATTCACCCAAGACATTTCAGCTTTTAATTTTGTTTGAATTTGTTTTAAAAAAATGAAAAATATAATTCCACTATGGGGTATTGTGTGTAGGCCAGTGACAAAACATCTCAATTTAATCCATTATAAATTCAGGCTGTGATAAAACAAAATGTGGAAAAAGTCAAAGGTGTGAATACTTTCTGAAGTCACTGTACAAACATTAGGAACACCTTCCCTCAGAACAGCCTCAATTCGTCGGGACTTGGACTCTACAAACTGTTGAAAGGGATGCTGGCCCATGTTGACTCCAATGCTTCCCACAGTTGTGTCAAGTTGGCTGGATGTCCTTTGGGTGGTGGACCATTCTTGATACACACGGGGAAACTGTTGACCGTGAAAACCCCAGCAGTGTTGCAGTTCTTGACACACTCAAACCGGTGCGCCCTGGCACCTGCTACCATACCCTGTTCAAAGGCACTTAAATATTTTGTCTTGCCCATTCACCCTCTGAATGGAACACATACACAATCCATTGCTCAATTGTCTCAAGGCTTAAAGATCCTTCTTTAACCTGTCTCCTCCCCTTCATCTACACTGATTGAAGTGGATTTAACAGGTGACATCAATAAGGGCTCATAGTGTTAACCTGGATTCACCTGGTCAGTCTATGTCATGTTTTGTCCACTCAGCGTATATAAGACAGTAATTGTTGTATACAGTGCATTGGGAAAGTATTCAGACCCCTTGACTTTTTCCACATTTTGTTACGTTACAGCCTTATTCTAAAATGGATTAAATGTCATTTTTTTCCCTCACCAATCTACACACAATATCCCATAATGACAAAGCAAAAACAGGTTGAGAAATGTTTGCAAAATAAAAATAAATAAATATCACATTTACATTTCAGACCCTTTACTCAGTACTTTGTTGAAGCACCTTTGGCAGCGATTACAGCCTTCTTGGGTAGGATGCTACAAGCTTGGCACACCTGTATTTGGGGAGTTTCTCCCATTCTTCTCTGCAGATCCTCTCAAACTCTCTCAGGTTGGATAGGGAGCGTCGCTGCACAGCTATTTTCAGGTCTCTCCAGAGATGTTCGATCAGGTTCAAGTCCGGGCTCTGGCTGGGCCACTCAAGGACATTCAGAGACTTGTCCCGAAGCCACTCCTGCGTTGTCTTGGCTGTGTGCTTAGGGTCGTTGTCCTGTTGGAAAGTAAACCTTCGCCCCAGTTTGAGGTCCTGAGCGCTCTGGAGCAGGTTTTCATCAAGGACCTCTCTGTACTTTGCTCTGTTCATCTTTGCCTCGATCATGACTAGTCTCCCAGTCCCTGCCGCTGAAAAACATCCCCACAGCATGATGTTGCCACCACCATGCTTCACCATAGGGATGGTATTGGCCAGGTGATGAGTGGTGCCTGGTTTCCTCCAGACGTGAAGCTTGGCATTCAGGCCAAAGAGTTAAATCTTAGTAACATCAGACCAGAGAATCTTGTTTCTCATTGTCTGGGAATCCTTTAGGTGCCTTTTGGCAAACTCCAAGCAGGCTGTCATGTGCCTTTTACTGAGGAGTGGCTTCTGTCTGGCCATTCTACCATAAAGGCCTGATTGGTGGAGTGCTGCAGAGATGGTTGACCTTCTGGAAGGTTCTACCATCTCAACAGAGGAACTCTGGAGCTCTGTAAGAGTGACCATCGGGTTCTTGGTCACCTCCCTGACCAAGGCCCTTCTCCCCCGATTGCTCAGTTTGGCCGGGCGGCCAGCTCAAGGAAGAGTCTTGGTGGTTCCAAACGTCTTCCATTTAAGAATGATGGACTCCACTGTGTTCTTGGGGCCCTTCAATGCTGTAGAATTTTTTTGGTACCCTTCCCCAGATCTGTGCCTCGACACAATCCTGTCTCAGAGCTCTACAGACAGTTCCTTTGACCTCATGGCTTGGTTTTTGCTCTGACACGCACTGTCAACTGTGGGACCTTTTATAGACAGGTGTGTGCCTTTCCAAATCATGTCCAATCAATAGAATTTACCACAGGTGACTCCAATTACTGTCTATTGTCCTGGTAACCCTAGGAAGAGAATGACGAAAAATAGGGACTTGTTATCTGTTCTTGTTCTGCATTTATATTTGTATCTATTACTTACAATGAATCTCTCTGTCTCTCTCTCTCTCTCTGTCTCATCTCTCTCTCGGTCGATCTCACTCTCACTATCTACTCTCTCTCTCTCTCTCTTCTCTGTCTCTCTATATGTCTCATATCATGTTCTCTCGTCTTTTCTCTCTCATCTCTCTATATCCTCTCTTCTCTCGTCTCTCTGTCTCTATTGTCTCTCTATCTCTCTCTTCCATCTCTATCTCTCTCTCTCTCTACTCTATGTCTCCTATCTCACTCTCTCTCTCTCTCTCCTCTCTCGCTCTCTCTCTTCTCTCTCGCTCTCTCTCAGGTACCGCATCTCTCTCCAAGGTCCTCTGACCTGAGGAACGAGTTTATTTCTTTGACAGTGACAGGAACCGGCCCAGTTTCGATGCCATCCTGTATTACTACCAGTCAGGAGGGAGGCTGCGCCGGCCGGTTAATGTCACTCTAGACATATTTTCAGAGGAGATCCGCTTCTACGAGCTGGGAGAGGAGGCCATTGAGATCTTCAGAGAGGATGAGGGCTTCATTAAGGAAGAAGAGCGTCCTCTCCCGGAGAACGAGTTCCAGAGACAGGTATATTCTATGTTCTGTGTTTTTATCATTATACATTATTTATTAGTGGCACATTGCCTAGTTAATATACACTTAATATAAATATTTTAATCTGTTACTAGCAAATGTCTCAGAGAATGTTTGCTATATGCTGTCAATTTGATAAGAGTGTGTGTGTGTGTGTGTGTGTGTGTGTGTGTGTGTGTGTGTGTGTGTGTGTGTGTGAACTCGAACAGGTGTGGCTGCTGTTTGAGTATCCGGAGAGTTCCGGCGCGGCCCGCATCATCGCCATCATCAGCGTCATGGTGATCCTGATCTCCATCGTGTCCTTCTGCCTGGAGACACTCCCCGTGTTCCGGAACGACCACGAAGAAAACAAGGTGTTCCAGCCCTTCAACAACTCCACCTCTTCCTACACCTCCTCCTACTTTACCGATCCGTTCTTCATCCTGGAGACGCTCTGCATCATCTGGTTCTCCTTCGAGTTCCTGGTCCGCTTCTTCGCGTGTCCTAGTAAAGCCGGGTTCTTCGGTAACATCATGAATATCATCGATATTGTGGCGATTATCCCGTATTTCATCACGTTGGGCACCGAGCTGGCAGAAGAAACCGGAGGACGGGGCAGGCAGGGGCAGCAGGCCATGTCCCTGGCCATCCTCAGGGTCATCCGGCTGGTCAGGGTGTTCAGGATCTTCAAGCTGTCCAGACACTCCAAGGGGCTCCAGATCCTGGGCCAGACCCTGAAGGCCAGCATGCGGGAGCTGGGCCTCCTCATCTTCTTCCTCTTCATCGGAGTCATCCTCTTCTCCAGCGCTGTTTACTTCGCCGAGGCCGACGAGGCCGACTCCCAGTTCAGCAGCATCCCAGAAGCCTTCTGGTGGGCCGTGGTTTCTATGACCACCGTCGGCTACGGCGACATGGTGCCCACCACCATCGGCGGGAAGATCGTCGGATCGCTCTGCGCCATCGCCGGCGTGCTGACCATCGCCCTGCCCGTCCCCGTCATCGTGTCCAACTTCAACTACTTCTACCATCGGGAGACGGAGGGGGAGGAGCAGGCGCAGTACCTGAACACACCCAGCCTGCCCAAGGCCGACTCAGCAGAGGACCTGAAGAAGAGCAGGCACTGCGGGAGTGGATCCACCCTCAGTAAGTCAGACTACATGGAGATACAGGAAGCTGCACTGAACCACAGCACCGAAGACTTCAGAGCAGAAAGCCTGAAGACAGGCAACTGCACCTTGTTGGCTAATGTTAACACACTAGGTAACGCTAACACCTTGGGTAACGCTAATGCACTATCTAACGCTAACACGCTGGCTAACACAAACTGTGTCAACATCACCAAGATAAGAACGGACGTATAGCTGGATTCAGGCGGTATAACACCAACTTGCTGGGCTGTCGGGGTGGAAAGAGAACTCGAAGGACATTGTAGAGGAGGGTGGAGGACTGAGGAAAGACCCTTCCTCTCTCGGATGTTGTAGAAGGCTTGGAGCCCCTACTGTCCAGACTAGATCGCTGAAACTCTGATAGAGGCCATGCAAGGTGGACAAGGCCCACATCTTAACCCCCAAACGGACCGGTTCCTAACTCAAACCCCCCCCCACTCCCTCTGTTGGGAGGTGAATCTTCCCTATGTTCAGTGTCTGCATGGCATTACTATGTGACTGTTCATCTGTCCAGTAGTCGTCTCTATGCCCTGCTCGCTACAGTAGCCCGATAATAGACAAACTTCTGACTGATAATAGAACCTAGAAACAGCATATAGGGGCCACTCTGCTCAAACTGCCACCATCCCGTCGGCACAGATCTAGGATCAGCTTGCCCTGAACAAGTACAAGCCGTAACCAATAGGAGATATACTGCAAAACTGACCTTAGATCAGCGTCTCATCATGTTCTAATTACTTAGCTCTAACTGCCAGCCTATAGGAGCTTATTTACCCTCTCTCTCCCACCCCGTACCCCCTGAACCTCTCTCCCACCCCGTACCCCCTGAACCTCTTCCACCCCTGAACCATCCTGAACTCTCCCACCCCCGGACCCCCTGAACCTCTCTCCCACCCCGTAACCCCTGAAACCTCTCTCACAACCCATACCCCCTGAAACCTCTCTCCCACCCCATACCCCCTGAACCTCTCTCCCCACCCCATACCCCCTGAAACGCTCTATCCACCCCATACCCCCTGAAACCTCTCTCCCCCCCCATACCCCCTGAACCTCCTCCACCCGTTTCCCCCTGAAACGCTCTCCCACCCCATCCCCCTGAAACGCTCTCCCACCCCATACCCCCTGAATCTCTCTCCCACCCCATACCCCTGAAACCCCTTCCCACCCATACCCCCTGGAAAAGCTTCCACCCCCCTACCCCTGAAAACCCTCCCACCACCCTACCCCCTGAAAACTCTCTCCCACCCATAACCCCTGAAACTCTCTCCCACCCCATAAACCCCTGAAACGCTCTCCCACCCCATACCCCCTGAACCCTTTTTCCCACCCTGTACCCACTGAACCTCTCTCCCACCCGACCCCCTGAACCCTCTCCCACCCCATAAACCCATAAACGCTCTCCCCACCCCATACCCCTGAAATTCTTCCCACCCCATACCCCCTGAAAAGCTCTCCCACCCCCTACCCCCTGTGAAGCTCTCCCCCCCCATACCCCCTTTAACCTCTCTCCCGCCCCGTACCCCCTGAAACTCTCTCCCACCCCGTACCCCCTGAACCGCTCTCCCACCCCGTACCCCCTGAACCTCTCTCCCACCCCGTACCCCCTGAACCTCTCTCCCACCCCTTACCCCCTGAACCTCTCTCCCACCCATACCCCCTGAAACGCTCTCCCACCCCATACCCCCTGAAACGCCTCTCCCACCCAATACCCCCTGAATCTCTCTCCCACCCCGTACCCCCTGAAACTCTCTCCCACCCCATAAACCCCTGAAACGCTCTCCCACCCCATACCCCATGAAACTCTCTCCCACCCACCATACCCCCTGAAACGCTCTCCCACCCCATACCCCCCTGAACGCTCTCCCACCCCATACCCCTGAATCTCTCTCCCACCCCGTACCCCCTGAAACTCTCTCCCACCCCATAATCCCTGAAACGCTCTCCCACCCCATACCCCCTGATGAACGCTCTCCCACTCCATACCCCTGAAACGCTCTCCCACCACATACCCCATGAAACTCTCTCCCACCATAACCCCTGAAACTCTCTCCCACCCATAACCCCCTGAAACGCTCTCCCAACCCATACCCCCTGAAACTCTCTCCCACCCTGTACCCCCTGAACCTCTCTCCCACCCCGTACCCCCTGAACCTCTCTCCCACCCCATAACCCATAACCGCTCTCCCACCCCATACCCCCTGAAATCTCTCCCCCCCCATACCCCTTGAAACGCTCTCCCACCCCATACCCCCTGAAATCTCCCCACCCCATACCCCTGAACTCTCTTCCCCCCGTACCCCCTGAAAACTCTTTCCCACCCGTACCCCTGAACCGCTCTCCCACCCCGTACCCCTGAACCCTCTCCCACCCCGTTTCCCCTGAACCTCTCCCCACCCCATACCTGAACCTCTCTCCCACCCGTACCCCTGAACCTCTCTCCCACCCCCTACCCCTGAACCTCTCTCCCCACCCCATAACCCCTGAAACGTCTCCCACCCATACCCCCCGGAAACCTTCTCCCACCCTACCCTGAATCTCTCTCCCACCCCGTACCCCTGAAACTCTCTCCCACCCCATAATCCCTGAAACGCTCTCCCACCCCATACCCCCTGAAACGCTCTCCCACCCCATACCCCCTGAAACGCTCTCCCACCACATACCCCCTGAAACTCTCTCCCCACCCCATAACCCCTGAAACTCTTTCCCACCCCATAACCCCCTTGAAACACTCTCCCACCCCAAAACCCCCTGAAACGCTCTCCCACCCCATACCCCCTGAATCTCTCTCCCACCCCGTACCCCCTGAAACTCTCTCCCACCCCATAATCCCTGAAACGCTCTCCCACCCCATACCCCCTGAAACGCTCTCCCACCCCATACCCCCTGAAACGCTCTCCCACCACATACCCCCTGAAACTCTCTCCCACCCCATAACCCCTGAAACTCTCTCCCACCCCATACCCCCTGAAAACGCTCTCCACCCCGTACCCCCTGAAACTCTCTCCCACCCCATAACCCCTGAAACACTCTCCCACCCCATACCCCCTGCAAACGCTCTCCCACCCCATACCCCCTGAAACACTCTCCCACCCCATACCCCCTGAAACGCTCTCCCACCCCATACCCCCTGAAACTCTCTCCCATCCGTACCCCCTGAAACCACTCTCCCACCCGTACCCCTCTGAAAACTCTCTCCCACCCCGTACCCCCTGAACCTCTCTCCCACCCCCATACCCCCTGAACCTCTCTCCCACCCCGTACCCCCTGAAACTCTCTCCCACCCCATAACCCTGAAACGCTTCTCCCACCCCATACCCCCTGAAACGCTCTCCCACCCCATACCCCCTGAAACGCTCTCCCACCCCATACCCCCCTGAAACACTCTCCCAACCCAATACCCCCTGAAACGCTCTCCCACCCAATACCCCCTGAAACGCTCTCCCACCCCATACCCCTGAATCTCTCTCCCACCCCGTACCCCCTGAAACTCTCTCCCACCCCATAACCCCTGGAAACGCTCTCACCACCCCATACCCCCCTGAAACGCTCTCCCACCCATCCCCCTGAAACGCTCTCCCACCCATACCCCCCTGGAAACACTCTCCCACCCCATACCCCTGAAACGCTCTCCCACCCCATACCCCCTGAAACGCTCTCCCACCCCATACCCCCTGAAACTCTCTCCCACCCCATTACCCCCTGAAACTCTCTCCCACCCCATACCCCCTTGAAACGCTCTCCCACCCCATACCCCATGAAACGCTCTCCCACCCCGTACCCCCTGAAACTCTCTCCCACCCCATAACCCCTGAAACACTCTCCCACCCCATACCCCCTGAAACGCTCTCCCACCCCGTACCCCCTGAAACACTCTCCCACCCCGTACCCCCTGAAACGCTCTCCCACCCCGTACCCCCCTGAAACACTCTCCCACCCCATACCCCCTGAAACGCTCTCCCACCCCATACCCCTGAAAACCACTCTCCCACCCCGTACCCCCTGAAACTCTCTCCCATCCGTACCCCCTGAAACACTCTCCCACCCGTACCCCCTGAAAACTCTCTCCCACCCCATAATCACCTGAAACGCTCTCCCACCCCATACCCCCTGAAATGCTCTCCCACCCCATACCCCCTGAAACGCTTCTCCCACCCCATACCCCCCTGAAACGCTTCTCCACCCCGTACCCCTTGAAAACTCTCTCCCACCCCATAAACCCTGAAACGCTCTCCCACCCCATACCCCCTGAAATTCTCTCCCACCCCATACCCCCTGAACGCTCTCCCACCCCATACCCCCTGAAATGCTCTCCCACCCCATACCCCCTGAAACTCTCTCCCATCCGTACCCCCTGAAACTCTCTCCCACCCCGTACCCCCTGAACCTCTCTCCCACCCCATACCCCCTGAACCTCTCTCCCACCCCGTACCCCCTGAACCTCTCTCCCGCCCCGTACCCCCTGAACCTCTCTCCCGCCCCGTTACCCCCTGAACCTCTCTCCCACCCCGTACCCCCTGAACCTCTCTCCCACCCCTTAACCCCTGAAACGCTCTCCCACCCCATACCCCCTGAAACGCTCTCCCACCCCATACCCCCTGAAACTCTCTCCCACCCATACCCCCTGAAACTCTCTCCCACCCGTACCCCGTGAAACTCTCTCCCACCCCGTACCCCCTGAAACTCTCTCCCACCCCATACCCCCTGAACCTCTCTCCCACCCCGTACCCCCTGAAACTCTCTCCCACCCCGTTACCCCCTGAACCTCTCTCCCACCCCGTACCCCCTGAACCTCTCTCCCACCCCATAACCCCTGAAACGCTCTCCCACCCCATACCCCCTGAAACTCTCTCCCACCCCATACCCCCTGAACCTCTCTCCCACCCCATAACCCCTGAAACGCTCTCCCACCCCATACCCCCTGAAACGCTCTCCCACCCCATACCCCCTGAAATGCTCTCCCACCCCATAATCCCTGAAACGCTCTCCCACCCCATACCCCCTGAAACGCTCTCCCACCCGTACCGTACAGTATGAAAAATGTATGCAGTCACTAACTGTAAGTCGCTCTGGATGAGAGCGTCTGCTAAATGACTAAAATGTAAATGGCAAAAAACTCTAAAATGATAATGTCTGTCTCACTCTAGCCAGGCCCATGTGACAGGGCTGGGGCGAGGGGGCGGCCGTTCTGTCTCACA